ATGACCATATCGCGCCATCGCTTAAGGATTTTCGCAGACTCATTAGAAATTACTGGGGGAAAGAAAACGTAACACTGAACGGACTGATTCCGGCCGAGCATAAATGCACTGATGAGGTGGGAACGACCTTACGGTGGCGGAATACTTGAAACTGGTGTTCAATGAAGTCTAGAACAACACCTCTTTATTTTTTATGCAATGCTTATGAGATGAAGATGACGTTTTTAATCAATTCCGCGGCTAGATATCCACTGTGAATTGCTTTCAAAAGTTCGTATTTGATTAAACTTACTCTAGGCATTATGGTTGTATATAATTAGCATATATCGCCCGCAAATCTTTTCGCATAAAAGAAAATTTGAAATTTTCGAATTCTTCGATTATTTACTGAGATATCCGCTGTTAAAGACAATTTTTAGAAAATTGTAGTTTGTTCACGTGATACCTGATGAGGAAGTAATCAAGTTCTGATCAAGTTACCCCGATCCACATTACTCAAGATGGATTACGCTCAAGTTTTGATCTGACCAGCGCGATCTTAGTCTGATCAAGTGATGCCTGATGAGAAACTATCAAGTTTTTTTTATATATTTTTCGGCCCTTTCTGCTCTGTTCTGGCTAACTGGCCTACCTCAAGCTATGCATGCGGCTGTGGATCCTACATTGTACCGTATTCACTCTCCTATGGAACATAGGAGTGACATGGGAAACCACAGGAAAAACCATGTCGGTATAGGCGGTTGCTTTATTAGCAACCTCCCGCTTATCGGTGCTTACTACTATCAAATTTTAATTCGACAATGATAAATGAAATGTGTTACGCAGTAGGTGAAGGAAACAGTTGAAGAATTTTCCACCATTGAGTAGAAGTTGACGGAATCTGATTATTGGATCAGGGTGAGCATGCCATAATGTCGACTGAAGTGGGATTTTTTTTCTTTGGTAAGGAAAGCCCTGAGGCGTTGGTGTGCTGTAAGATAGAACACTCGTCAGTCCTCAGCAGCTCGTGAGAAATTAATCACAGCATTATTGCTGGGGACGACGACGCCAGGGTGTCGCTTTAATTTTGGACGTTTGGCCCGGCCCACCCGGTAGAGGAATAGCCAACTATCGTGATTCGGTCCGCCGCGCTTGCCTGATTCCTTGTCTCCGCATTGTAAACTCTGTTTACGTCACTTCTTCGTTTGTGTTTCTTAATATTTACATCATACTCTTCATGCATTTAACATGCATCGCATTGAAAGAATGATCTGCATCATATACGTTCAACCGTCAGGATTATTAATGCCATTGAAAAAAAAATATTAATAACTCTGTAATAAGAGTCAGGTGTGGTAAAAATTATTGCCGACATCATTTTAATGAGACTGGAAAAAATGATGCACTTTTACACTTCCAATTTATCGTGGAAGCATCAAAGAGAAACTTTGACAAATCACTGGAATCGAGGGGAAAAAATGAGTAAATCGGTTTAATCATTCGTATTATGACCAAGTTGTATCGGACATCGTTAATAAATCGCATGAACATGTTTACTCTCATACTGCAATTTTCACGATCGTGTTTCATAGCTTCTTTGAAATGTTCGACTCCATTATTTACCATTTTTTCCTTGCATAATCGATCTTGTTTACAAAGTGCGCTTCCAAGATTATCAAATCTGGAAAGATTTTATTTGCCAAATACTCTCCTTCCATTAACTCCTTGTGAATAATTCCAATGAATGGATTGAATTGCAGTCTCAAGGACAGATCAAGGTGAAGAATAGACGTAGTAAATAGTAAAGTCGTATTTCTGTCTAATCGTCCCCAAGTTCCCCAAGCTGTCAAGACGTTTCTTATTTTAATATAGTAAGCCTATAGAGACTAGAGATTAAATGGTCTAGCTAGTTGAAGGTGGAAATCTCTGGAGTGGAGAAAAAGAAATATAGCCAACACTTCAGCCATCTCTTCAAGGTTTTGCGATATGGGTGCATGCATGAGTTGAAGAATGATGTAACCATTGTTGCTATAATCGTTTAAATGATCGTGCAGAGAAGATGAAAAAGAGCGTAACTGTTTCAACAACAACGGCTGCGCTCCCGTTTTATTTGAACATTTCGGCCAGAGTTATATCTTTCGGTACTAAGCTTATCTGTTCTCTCTTCATGCCGGCCTTACTGTATTAGCACTAGTTGCTACGCCTATTTCGGTTGGTTTACCGTTGAACTGAGTAATCACAGGGGTACAATCAAGTGTGACGCATACAGTTCTTATGATTATTTCAAGAATTAGTAAACCCAGTTTTTTGCTTCTTATATTTCATTTTTTTTCAACTTATTTACAAATATACTTTTGCGAAGAGTCCATTTTGTTGAAAGGTGTATTTTTTTTGTATTTCTTCAGCCGAGTCCCTTTCAGATAATTCCCCTTCGGTTTCAATGATGATCAAATTTTTCTAGAAAATCGTTATGACCTGGAATGAACTGTCTGAGTAATTATTCATATCATCGTATTCATCAAATTCCTTCTTAAAATCTAGTATCCGAAAATTGTGAATGCTAATAGCGGAGAGTATCTATTGAGAGCATTTGGTATGGGTGTACAAAAATTAATAGTTATCCCATAGTCGTTTTGGTTCATATTATTATTTTATAATTTTTCTTAGAACAGCATCAGGATAAGGAGAACAGTTTATATAAACAGAAATAGAGAGAGATGAATGAACAAGGGCCTTTTATAAAATGGGTCCAGAGCGGAAAAACTTTGGTTGCTATGAGTTAGTAGAGTTGCAGAAGTCATAGGAGAAAGATATACCTTCTGACTGCGTTTAATAAAAGTCAACGTCTAAGCCTAATTAGTATTATTATTTACTAATTCCTGTCCATAATCCAATAGTATCCATCATATTCAACCCGACCATTAATGAAAGTTATATGATTGGTATTATTTAAGTCTAATTGAAATCGTCTGGAGATAACTCAGCTGGAGAAATATGATTTGTTGGTAAAAATAATAAGAATAATTTAATAATTTCCGGGAAGATCAGAATTATATTCGAAAAAAAAGTCGCAAATTATTATCTTGAGACGTATCAAAATTCACGAATTAAGTTTACAAAAAATGAGACTATTGTTTTCCATATTCGCATCGGGTATGATGGAATTACCATTAAATTGAAACGCTTTATGGGAGATATAACACATGCTTTACGCACAATTTCGAAAAAATTCTCAGAGTTGAAGCTCTTCGTCCTAAAGATGCAGACTGCAATGTTTGTTCTGCGAACGTCCGCAAAAAGCTGAAATAAAATGTGGCACCCACCCGGAAGGCAATTATTATAATAACAATCATGATCGCGAAAGTCTCTTAACTAAAATATCTTTTTCATCATACCGTGTGTAAAGTGACGTTTTACGCTCGCTCTGTGTGTACTAAACCTCACTTCACACACATTGTGAAAAATACCGTTCAATACTAGCAGTAAAAGGGTTATTGATTCGTGGGAAGTGAGTAGTGCATGCGAAACCGGCGTAAAATATCACTTTGCACATAGCGCTATAGAAAATTTTGTCCGATACATGTGAAATATTACATTTCAATACGATTGCAACACGCGAAAGTGTTTTTATAAGACATTTGTAGTGCAGCTTCCAGGCGAATGATATAATCTCACGACTCCATAAAAACACTTTTGCCACCAGTATCGACCCCTATTTTTCATAACAATGTGTGGGGAGTGGGATTTTGAGATCGCGGATCGTGTGTAAAATGTCACTTTATACACAGTGTGTCGAAAAAGTACTTTCTAGCGAGTGCAATTACGCGATTTGTAAGCATCGAACCCATTAGAAAATTCTTTTTTTCGGTTGTATCGTAATGCAGTATTTTTTGAGCGGTGGATTTTGCACTCACCTCCCTTAACCAAATCTTGACTCGACTATAAGTGCTTGCATCGCGTGGCATCACCTGCAATAGTGTGGAGACGTCTGCCATCTCGTTGATGCTATACAGCACGTAGACGACAACAGCGACTTCTGCTGTTGGCGCGATGCCAAGGCGTCTCGACGCTCCCCGAAGAGGGTGGATCCGATCAGAGCCGAAGACTAAGGCGTCCCGGCGTCGTGCGTCCGTCAGTGCGTGCGTGAGATGGCTGCAAGGCGCTCTCGTGATGAAGACGCCTACTATCGCGCAGCATGTAATCACTCGTGATAAAACGTGATAATTTAACGAATGTGTGCAGTAATTAGTTTGTTGAAAATTTACTATCATAATTGAGCCGGTCTATGTGTTATTATTTATTATGGTTATATGAATGGGACGTGTTATTGAGGGACAGTGTTATTGATAATTATTCTGGCTTGGACTCAAATGTTTAATACAGAACTGTCAGATTGATAGAAAGTAATGAGAACAGATGAGGATGTGATGTTCACGGAGAGACTGAATCACTTTATGGTACTAGAAATGTAACTCATCACAGGTGGATCCATTCGTAGACGTGACAATGGCGCCATGACAATCATAATAGTGATGATGACTTATACACCTGAGAATATGGACAAAATTTTGCGCCGATATGCTATCACTACGCGATTATGAAACATAACCACAATCAACCGACGTATCATTCCCGTACACAGCCTTCACAACGCTGCATTCCCTCGAAAGAACAAAAAAATAATGTAAAAAAAAAGAGATCAAGTGAAAAGAGAGGTTGTATTCGACGTGAGAAAAAGTTTAATTTATAAAAGCAGAATGGAGAGATTGAAGAATATGCTCATGCGATGTGTGGACCAGTAAAAGTTTAACCTACTCAAGTCATTCATTAGAATCTGCCAGGGAGCACCTGATGCCAGTCAGTTCGAACCCCTGGACAGAGGGCAAGGAATTGTTAGATAAAGATATCGATGAAAATTAATAATTGAACGTAAAGGGAAAAGTCATTGAAGTAAAACTCTGCATTAAAAGAATAACACCGAGATTACGCAAGAGATTTGGCGTAGACCAACGATGGAATATCGGTGAGGTCACAAGGTCATCACAGAATGCCTGAGCCGAGGGCAAAGCGCTGCAAACACTGTGACGGTATGCCATCTTGCCGAATTGACTCCACATATTTAATCCTTTGGTGTTTATCAACATTCTGTAACATAATTCAATGATCTTTGGTGTTTATTGTGTTTAAATTGATACATCTATGTGATTTTGTGTCGTTATTCAATCAGGCTAACCATAATCTTGGACTCTAAACTGTGCTGTTTGTACCTGTAATGATATGTTGTGGTTTGCTTAAATTTAAACATAACACCATTTAGATATGAAGCATTAACGTATCAGACAAGTGTTTGCTAACCCAGAGACAAAAAGTTTTTGCCTTCACTAACATCATTGACCATTTTAACCATCTGATTTGGTTGTTCAACGGATTGTGATCCAGATAGTTCGGCATTCGCGGCGTGCGGCAGATCCTCAACGAAAGTAGGACGACTTTCGATGAAAAGTCAGTCTTAATTAGAACCCACGGTAGGTCGTTTTTTTATCTTTGGGTTTGTTCATTCCGTTTGTACAGACTCTCTTCACGAATAAAGAAGACTCGGATCAGAGTGGCCGTATGGTAGAAGAGGCAGGTCTCCTCGCATTCCGATTGGAATGGCAAAGTACTACTTAACTGACGTCTATTTGTCGGCTTGTCTTATTTGCCACTGTATTATTTATATCACAGGTTGTTAACCTAATGCTTTAATAGAATCGACCCATCATTATTCAACCTCTAACCTCCACAATCGGTTTGGAAATTATTGGGACAATTACTATTATTTTTTTTTGAATTTTTCATGATGTTTATGACCATCTGATTAGGACTCATTCTAAATACTTGAGTCATTTTTATCTTCTGGTGTTTTCAGTTTATCCATCCAAATTCTTGACCCCATCAGGGCTTAGACTTCTCTTTTTAATTTTCAACATCTCATTAGGTAGATTTCTACTGCTTTTTGACAGGTAGGAAATAATTTGAAGGGCATTGTGTAATCGACGCTCTTTTGACAGAAATAAGTATAGAAACGTTACGCCGTGACAAATAAATTTTTAAAGATTTTTTTCTCTCCCTGAGTGAGACCCTAATATTATACTTGGCATGCAGTCGTAAGTGAAAAAACTCTCTTCGTTTCCGGTCTGTCATCGTATAAATAGAAAACATGCACTCATTTTTAACATCATCTACTCAAACATTTCTGGTTTTATGACGAAAATTAAATCCGTAATTCATTATTTACCGAGAAATGGTGGCGATATAACATTTATAAAACTTTTGTTTCATGCCATCAATTTTAAGGCAAATATCAGAATTTTTATTGACTCGATTCCTGTCGAAAATCGTATTTTCTAATTCCTATTATAGATTCATCGAAGTGATATCAACAAAGTTGGTGGAATTAATTGTATTAAGCCTGAGTTGAAAAATTCCGACAATTCACAGCCAAAAAAGATTTCTAATTTTCATAAATTCAGAATCAAAAATTCATTGAGTGTGGATTCCTAAAATTTAATAATTTACGGCCTAACGTTAAAGAATTAGAAAGCATCATCATTAAAAATGAGGAATTATTTAAAACCATTTTTTTATATTTTCACCGATCATTCTAATTTTAGTTGAGAAGTAACTGGGGTAAATAATTGAGTCACATACTTAGCTATAATTAAATTCTTTCATTCGAGAAGCCTTTCGAATAATCCGCAAAATTTATCGCTATTTTCTCATTTATAATTTGATTACAGAAACTACATTCAATTAAGTAGTCTAGAGATGATCAAGCCTAGAAATGTTTATTAATTAAAATATCGACCTTGGGCTGATCCCTGAATTTCAGGAATCCTCTATTTCGCATTTAAAGACCAGCTTTTCGAGCATTAGAACTCTTTTCTCTCTGCATTGAATGCGTCAAATGTAAAATAAAGCACTAACTGTACGTGAATTTAAAAATACTCGTAAACATTAAAGCCCGACAGCTGTCGATGAAAAACACCATCTAAATATAGAAATAGGAACGTGTATACAGCGTAAGTCTAACAATTTACTCAGTGGCTTGACAGATCTTGAATGAGGATCTATCAGCGAAAAAATGTTGAATCCTTCTGAGAATGTTCACTAATTGTCCTTAATTAATCATCTCGATTTTTTAATTATATGGAGTTAACCTCAACCCTTTTTCGGTAGAAAAAGGAAGAATGCCATCTAAAACCAGTGGCGAATTACTCACTCATTACACATATTATAATTATTTTCACTAATGAATCAGCATGACACTTCCAAATAGTGGTTTGCCATCTTCGAAATTGGAAGTTGGCAAAAAACTATCTGAGAAATTATATCGGTATATACAGCTATGGTGCTTATCTCCTAACTTCAATAGTATGGCATCGAAATTATCATTGTTAGGTTTAATCAAATTGAATTGAAGCAGAAGATCCCACATCACGTTCGGAATTCAACGGTATTTCCTAGTACGAATTTTGGTCAATCTATCTTATATATCGATACAACTGTTGCTATAATTTCTATCTTCCAACTTGCTCAACAGGAAATTGAAATAAATTTTTGAGGCCCTTATTCAAGTATTGGACAAGATTTTTTGTTGGGATATCGTGAAATAACTGATTTTTGAAAAAACTCGATAATTAGAAAAAAAATAGTAAATGAATTGAATTTTCATTAATATCGACGTTGGGGGCTCAAAAATAATTACATTACATGACGAAAGTTAATTTTTCGACGCACTGGGTGTGAATTGATTTTTTACGCGTGCTTTCCATCCTTATGTGGGAAAGAATGCTTTTCACACGCGGAGCATGACTGAAATGTCACTTTCCACACGGTGTGTCGAGAAAGTTTACTCTCTGAAACCGTTGGCTGTGTACAAAGCACGCGTCTGCGGCACAGCGTGCGTAAAGTTAGGAGACTGCAGTGAATTCTGGTGCGTAAACCTTTCCTCACTCATGGTTGATTGCTCGTTCAGGTGTTCACAACTCGTGCAAAAAGTGCTACCTTCATAGCTGCATAATATACTATAACTTTACAGATACATTAGTGCCCAATCGGAGATGAAATTTCAAATTTCCATCATTGCAATGCTTCCATGCGGAAGCAAAATAATTTTGATGATAATAAAAAACGAGTAACTACCATATAATGAAATCCATCTTGACGGGTCTGACAACAATCGAGGCGAGAAAGTTGGAATGAAAGAGGTTATGTGATAGTTGATTTGATGTAAAAGAGGTCTCTTGATGGAAGGGCGACGTAGTGACACACGCATACAGTAACATACATTTACAATGGAAAAGTGGCTTGAAATTCGTTGGTGTCTTTTGGCACAGCCGCGATTGGATTATTTATCGTTACGGTATGCGAGTTGCGTGGGCGTATAAATCCCCCTCGAGAGAACACAACTCTGGCTGTTTTCCAAGACGACGACACCTTACACCCACAAAATCCCTCCGACTTTTCGTATGGGGACAAATATCCCTTTGAGTCTGTTGTTTGAGACCAATATATGCTACGGCAAATCTGTTAATGAGTCTTCGATGTGAACTTCCTGGCACCGTCCTCGATCCGCGGCTTCAGTTGGACAAACATCTATTTACGTCCAGACATAATTGGACATAATTCATTATCTGCCATTAGAATTCTTCCAGATACACGGAGAGAAATATTCAACAAAAACTTTATCTGTCGTATATCCTTGCGGGCCTTTACGATTTGTTCCTTTCTCACCGCCCAATCCCTGTACTGCATTTGCCGAAAGGAAGAGAAAAACCTGCACTGATTCAGCCGTCCTTTTTGAAAGGACTACCGCTCGACTGTGAAACTGAGATTAGAGCGCTATAAATTTTGACCGCTGGTGTCCAGAATCGACCCCAGATCATTGGCATGCTAGTCTAGCACTTTAGCCGCTCGGCCACTACCGTCGGTGAGAAATATTCAATAAAAATTTAATGATTAAACGAACTTATCTAAGTTTTATCATAATTCTAGGGAGCACCTTTTCCGAAAGATCATGAATAGCCCTTATTTTTTGAGATGGTGTCACCAATTAAATGTCCCTAAAAATATTTTCCGGACCCACTCCCCATCGGTGGGGTAGTACTGCGTCATTTGTTTAAAGTATTGCCGTAATAACAGGGGCTCGAAAGGAGGGGGACTGTTCCTTAGATTACTAGTAGATGTTGAAAGCTACTAATTACGACATGCAAGTGCATTTATTGTCTGCTGGTTAAACAGATAAAGGAATGGAAAGAAATACGAGAAAAAAATTAATAACCATGGGCTGTATCCGTTATTAATTCTTTAACAATTGAGCTTTTGTATGTTTAGTCTTGTCCTCTGTTGACTGTGAGTGGTGAAAGTTTGCAAAGACCTTCGTATTTTTGGTCAATCCAGCAGTCTGTTTTATGAGAGCACCGTTGATACCACATCTCTTAGCTGCTGATGTTGAGGCATGTCGAGTAGACCATGCTGTAAATATTTCCGTATCGATTTCACACTCGTTGAGGAGTTCTTTTATCTATCTATTGATTGTTTGTGCTGTCACTTTTTTGTGAGGTTTTTGGAACGAAATTGAGATTGTAGGTGTTGATTCGAAGGTCCTAGGTCGCCTGGAGATAGTCCTAAAGGGTCTTAGCGACTCAAATTCTTTTATTTTGAGTGAAGAAAGGACCAGAGTCGGTTGTCTTTTATTAGTACCTAACGAGGTCTCAAAGCTTTTAATCATCGCAGGTATTTTGATTTCGATGACGTCATCTAGGATGCGTATATTTCTGACATCAATAATCGTAAGAGTTTACATGCGTTGTGATGTCGTAAATGTCAGAAGGATAGTCAACTTAAGAGTTAACTAAACTAATCTTAAACTCAGGATTTCATCGGAAGGGCATGTCTCCAAAAAAATCTAGCACCACTTTCGGATCCCAAGTCTCGTTGTATTTAGATTTTGGGTCTATTGTTACGAACATCTTTGCAGAAACGTTTTCTTTTAGAATATGGGCCTACATCTGGTCCTTAAAGAAATGATGAGGCTGATCGATAA